GCAAGGATGAGGCTGAGCGAAGATTTGGCTGCTGTGCTGGGGTCAGATGCGGGAGGCGCAGCCAGGAGCCCCCTTGACAGTATGCAGAACCCAGAGATGTCTTCTCCCCATCTCGGAGGCTTTCATCTGAATGAAAACAGGAGGTCGCCGAGGCCTTTCCAGCGAATTCAGAAGGGGTTACGTCATGCTGGAACCCGACAAAGAGTTTGTCGGAGACATGCAAGTTGTGCCTGAGGGGAGGGAGCGTTTTTCATTTGTCCTGCGGTCACCTGAAGTGGAGGGGGGGGAGTTTGGCTGGTTCTTGAAGAGCTGCAAAATGCCGTGCAGCTGTTTGAACAGAAGGGACAGCATTTCTCGATGGAAATTAGGAATAGCCCCGTCCTCGCGCCCGGGATCGCTGCCTAAGCTTGTCACGAGTCAGGTGTGGTGTCACCTGACGCTGCCACCACTCTGGTTCCAGGCTCCTCTGAGAAGGCCCAGAGCACCCTCCCAAGACCTTCTGACCTCCCTTTTGGAGGGAATTAGATAGGCATATGGATCAGAGGTCCATCAGTGGCTATTAGCCACAAGGTATAGATAGGGGCAAGGGATGCTCTGTCTTCTAGGTGCTTGGGGGGGGGGTCAACAGTGGGAGGGCTTCTAATGTCCTGGCCTCACTGCCGGGCCTCCTGAGGGCACCTGGTATTTTTGGCCACTGTGTGACACAGAGTGTTGGACTGGATGGGCCTTTGGCCTGATCCAACATTGGCTTCTCTTATGTTCTTATGTTTATGTTAATAGGCGTAAGGACCAGGCAGAGTGAACAATGAAAATAGTTTATTGTATAGGAGGTCAAACAAACAAGGTGCAGAATAATAACAGTAAGTGGGTGAAAAGAAATCAAATGACCTAATGCGTCTAAATATATATTGTCCCTTGCTCACTATTCCAAGTGGCCTTGGACTACTCACCCTTCCCTCAGGACGAGGGTCTCTTCCCCACAGCAGCCTTCCTTCTGGTTCTGCCCTCTGGGAAGAAGAACAGCTTTTCCTGCTGCCCCAGATCTTTTAATCCAAGCCCTCCTCTTTTCCTATTGGTCAATTTTGGCTCCAAAACCTCTCAGGGGCTTCTGGGAGCTGTAGGGCCAGCCTCACCTACTGCTAGCCAGGCTCCCTGGGCCTTGTAGGCCTCTGGTGGCACAGCCCCGATCATGACAGAGCTGTCCTTGAAAAAGAGCAGTTTCTGTCAGAGCTCTCCTACCTTGCAGGGTGTCTGTTGTGGGGAGGGGAAGGGGAAGGAGTTTGTAAGCCTCTCTGAGACACCTTTGGGTAGTGAAGGGCGGGGTAGAAATCCCATTTGCTCCTCCTCCTCCTCCTCTTATTCTTCATCCCACTTTTCTTCTGAGAAGCTCACAGCTCTCCCTCTCCTCCATTTGATCCTCTCCACAACAACCCTGTGAGGTAGATTAGCCTGAGAGAAGGTGACCTGCCCAAGGTCCCCCAAGAGTGAGCTTCATGGATGAGTGGGATTAAAACCCAGGATTCCCCAACACTCTGGCCCCAAACACCAGGCTGGCTCTCCACCTGGACTGTTTGCTCTTTTCATTTCCTCTTTGGAAACCCGTCTTGCTGGCTGAATATCTCCTTGGACTGTAATCTCACAATGGAGTTTATCGTGCGACTGAAACGCGTTCATGAAAAAATTTATTGTCTGGGCTAGGAATTATTTGAGGGAGAGGAGGAAGAAAAGCCAGCACACGCTAGGGCCATATATTGTTCTCTGTGTTACATGCAGTCAAGTAGCTTCCAATTTATGGCGATCCTATAAGAAAAAAGAGGAGTTGGTTTTATTATCCCGCTCTTCAGTACCTGAAGGAGTCTTGGAGCGACTTACAGTCAGTGTTCCCTCTAAGCTGAGTTAGTGTGAGCTAGCTCACAGTTTTTTAGCCTCCGGCTCACACATTTTTGTCTCCGCTTAGGAAGGAGGGCTCCAGAGCAAACTAATTTATGCAGTCGCCCAATCGCTCGCTCACCACTTTAATGCCAGGAGCTCACAAAGTAGGATTTTTGTTCACAAGACTCCACAGCTTAGAGGGAACATTGCTTACAGTCTTTCCCCCTTCCTCTCCCCTATGAGGTAGGTGGGGCTGAGAGAGCTCTTTCGAGGACTGCTCTTGAGAGAACAGCTCTGAGAGAACTCGTGACTGACCCAAGGTCACACCAGCAGCTGCCTGTAGAGGCGTGGGGAATCAAACCCGGTTCTCCTGGTTAGAGTCTGCCGCTCTTAACCACGACGCCGAACTGACTATGAATTAATGGCCTCCAAAACATCCAGTCATTCACAGCCTTACTCATGGTCTTACAACCTGAGGGCCCTTGTGGCTTCCTCATTTGAGCCAACGCATCTCCGGTCGGCTCTTCCTCTTTTCCTCCTGCCTTCGGCTTTTCCTAGAGTTATTGTAGGGCTGCCAAGCCGCGGTGGGGGATCTGTGCGTCTTCACAGGATCCCTGCCGCGGGGGACAGCGATACGCGTTGCACCGCCGTTGCCAGGATGTGACGCTATGCGTCGCTCTGGCAACGGGACCGTTGCCAGAGCGATGCATAGCGTCACATCCTGGTGAAGGCGGTGCAACGTGTATCACTCTCCCCCACGGCAGGGATCCTGTGAAGACGCACGGATCCCCCGCCGTGGCTTGGCAGCCCTACGTTATTGTCTTTTCCAGTGGCTCTCGTCTTCTTATAAGGTGACCCAAGTAAGATAGCACCTGTGTTTTCTAAATAAACACAAAAGCTTACTGGTGGCTACCAAGTACTCTGGTGGGGTTATTGATTTTATTTTATTTTATTTGTGAGATTTGACTTATGGAGAAGCTAGCATCCCTGGAAAGAAAGAGACGCAAGTTCTGATCTATCACATCATGCACATGAACACTCATGAAGCTGCGTCACACTGAATCAGACCCTCGGTACGTCAAGGTCAGAATTATCTACTCAGACTGGCAGTGGCTACCCGGACTGAGGTCTTTCACGTTATGTCCTGCCCAGTGTTCCTTCTAAGCTGAGTCAGTGTGCCGCTCCAGTTGTTTAGCCTCCAGCTCACAGATTTTTGTCTTGGCTCAGGAAGGATGGGGCTCCAGAGCAAACCTAATTTATGCAGCAGCCCAATCGCTCGCTCACAACTTTTGATGCCAGGAGCTCACAATTAGAATTTTTGCTCACAAGACTCCACAGCTTAGAGGGAACATTGGTCCTGCCTAATCTTTTAAACTGGATATGCTGGGGATTGAACCTGTGACCCTTTCAGGCTCTTCACTGAACCATCTTTCCTCCCGTCCAGGGGTCATGTCGTAGAAAAAGAGGTGCAGGAGCTCATTAGCATAACTCCTTAGCATAACTCGTTTGCATATGCCACACCCCCTGACATCACCGGAAGTGTGTCAGAAGGCAACGCCCACCGCTCAGGCTCCACTGGACTGTTTTGGATGGCTAGCTATTGGGGGGGGGGGGGCACGTGCAGATCTGCCCTCACAGAGGAGGGAGAGCTTGTACCTGAATAAACCTTGGTCTTAAAGGTACCACTGGACTGTTTTGGATGGCTAGCTATTGGGAGGGGGGGAATGCGCAGATCTGCCCTCACAGAGAAGGGAGAGCTTGTACCTGATTGGTCTTAAAGGGGCCACTGGACTGTTTTGGACCGAGGGGGGGGGGCTCTGCAGCTTACCTGGCTGCTTCTTGGTCTGACTGAGGGCTGCTGGGAGCAGGGGGTGGGGCTTGTTGCATGTGCCCGCCCCCTGGGCTCTTTACTGCCGGAGCTCCGCTCCTGTGCGCTCCTGCAGGAAATGACCTCTACTCCCCTAATTTCTCTTGGCCTTGCTGGGTGCTGCGGATTCTCTTGAAATGTAACCCTCGAAGGTGGAAACTGGTGGTTCTTATCCAAAGAACCTTTGAAAGCATGGTCACTTCCACCATGAGAAGGCATGGACTTTCGCCCAGCTTTGGGGCTACAGTTTCCCCCTCTCCAGCTCCACTCTCTCAAAGAAGAAGAGAAGAAGAAATTGGATTTATACCCCGCCCTTCACTCAGAGTCTCAGAGCGCCTTACAAACTCCTTTCCCTTCCCTTCCCTTCCCCACAACAGAAACCCTGTGAGGGTAGGTGGGGCTGAGAGAGCTCTTTCAAAAGCTGCCCTTTCAAGGACAGCTCTTATCAGAACTACGGCTTGCCCAAGGTCATCCAGCAGGTGCAAGAGAGGGAGGAGTGGGGAATCAAACCTGGTTCTCCCAGATTAGAGTCCACGCACTTAACCACGACACCAGACTTGATGTCCTTCCTGTGGCGCCTGACAGGCTTGGCCTTGGATGTACAAAAGGGGGTTCCCCCACTGTTTTGGGAGAAGCTTTTTGCCATGGCTTTTGTTTGGTGTAGTTTGATGTAGTGGTTAAGTGCGCGGGAAGAAGAAGAAGAGTTGGATTTATACCCGGCCCCTCACTACCCAAAGGTGTCTCAGAGTTGCTTCCAAACTCCTTCCCCTTCCCCTCCCCAGAACAGACACCCTGTGAGGCAGGTGGGGCTGAGAGAGCTCTGACAGAAACGGCTCTTTTTCAAGGACAGCTCTTATCAGAGCCACGGCTTGCCCAAGGTCATCCAACAGGTGCAAGTGGAGGAGTGCGGAATCGAACCCGGTTCTCCTAGATTAGAGTCCGCACGCTTAACCACGACATCAAACAGGCTCTCTGGGAGAACCGGGTTTGATTCCCCACTCCTCCACATGCAGCTGCTGGATGACCTCAGGTAAGCCATAGTTCTGTCAGAGCTGTCCTTGAAAGGGCAATCCTCGAAAGAGCTCTCTCAGCCCCACCCACCTCTTCTCAGTTTGGTGTAGTGGTTAAATGTGCAGACTCTAATCTGGGATAACCGGGTTTGATTCCCCATTCCTTCACATGCAGCCAGCTGGTGTGACCTTGGGTCTGCCACAAGTTCTGTCGGAGCTGCTCTTTCAAGGGCGGTTCTCGAGAGAGCTCTCCCAGCCCCACCCACCTCACAGGGTGCCTGTTGTGGGGAGGGGGAAGGGAAAGGAGTTTGTCAGCCGCTCTGAGATGCCGAGTAAAGGGCAGTGTATAAATCCAGTCTCCTCTTCTTCTTCCTTCTCCTCAGCTGACAAGCTGGGCTCTGTCTGAGCTTCAACATCCTGCTGGAGGACAACCAGAGGTCTTAAGTTGTGACGGAATCATTCCTGACAAATGACATCATCTGCTTTGGTGGGTTATGAGGCTCTGCAGCAGATGTGCCTCTGCCGCCCGTTTGCAGAAGGGAGGGCCCAAGGCCCCCCTCTCTGCAGGCTTCTGGAACCCCGCCCCCACCCGTAGGCCTCAAGGAGAGCTAAATCCGGACGGTGACCTATTGCATAAGTCGCATCTGCTGTAGGCTGCAGCCGGCCTGAGAGAAAGCTTTGTTGTCGGGCAGAGCGGAACTGAGCTTCCAAGAGACACGGAGGGAGGCAAGTTGAGCCACTTCACACCACTGGCTTGGAGGAGGCATGAAACGTTTCCACCGACATGCACCGAGGGGTCCAGGCAGCACGAAACGTCAGACCTGTGACCCGGTTCTAATCTGATGAAGGGAGATTTGGCTCTCAACAGCTGATACCCCAAGTTTAGGTCCTAAAAACCTGGTGGGTCTCAAGAACCAATGCTCCCGCTAAGCTGTGGAGTCCTGCGGGCAGAGGTTCTGCTTTGTGAGCGGCTGGCATTAAAGCTGTGAGCGAGCGACACGGCTGCTGCATAAATCAGTCTGCTTTGGAGCCGTCACGACAAAAATGTGTGAGTGAGCTGGAGGCTAAAAAAACTGAGCTGGCTCACACTCACTCAGCTTAGAGGGAACACTGGGCTCTTCTACGGCCGATCAACACAGCTGCCCTCTTGAAATCAGTTTCAGTGCAGTCTCGGTAATCCAGCATCTGACAAAGAGAGTTTTGATTGGAAAATTTATACCCTGGAAAACTTGCTGGTCATTAAGGTGCTCAGAGCTAGGAAGCCATATCAGGGGAGGGCCTCAGCCTCTATGCCGTGTTGTTGGCCCTCCAGAGGAACTGGTTGGCTGCTGTGTGAGACAGGATGCTGGACTAGATGGACCCTCACTGGTCTGATCCAGCAGGGCTCTTCTGGTGTTCCTATGAAGGCCTCAGCCTCTCTGCCCTGTTGCTGGCCCTCCCCAGAGGAACTGGTTGGCCACTGTGTGAGACAGGATGCTGGACCAGATGGACCCTCACTGGTCTGACCCAGCAGGGCTCTTCTGATGTTCTTATGAAGGCCTTGGCCTCTCTGCCCTGTTGTTGGCCCTCCAGAGGACCTGGTTGGCCACTGTATGCTGGGCTAGATGGACCCTCACTGGTCTGATCCAGCAGGGCTCTTCTGAGGTTCTTATAAAGGCCTTGGCCTCTATGTCCTTGTCATTTGGACCTCCAGAGGAACTGGTTGGCCATTGTATGAGGCAGGGTGCTGGACTGGATGGACCACTGGTCTGACCCAGCAGGGCTCTTCTGATGTTCTTGTGAAGGCTATATTGTACTGTTGGCCCTCCAGAGAAACTGGTTGGCCACTCTGTGAGAAAGTAGATGGGTCACAGTAAAAAATAACTAAGGCCCCGTTCACACGGAGCATTTGCTGCGCTAAAGATACGGATGATAGGCGGATTTTCCAGGTGCGACCACACCGCAACATCTGGGAAGTGTAGTGCACCCGTGGCTAACCCGTGGCTTCGTGCCGAAGATACGGAGTAAAAAACTAGTACTTACGATGTACTAGTTTCCGGAAAACGCGAGGCAAGGGCGGGCGTCTGATCGCGTCCTGTCCTGTCCTAGTCCCGTCGCAAACCGGTTAGTTTTTTTTTTAAAGTCTTCACAGGATGCGCACAAACCATCATCCGCATGCTCACCTTTTGGTGAGAAAATTTTTTTCCCGTTTGCCACAGAAGCGGCGTCTAGCAATTGCTGGTGTGATCGCGCCACTTCTTTGCCATGCTGCAGAATAGCCGTGTGATTGGCACCTAACGGCCTAACCATGGGACCTCAACGAGACGTCTGATTGGGCAGCCGCGCGTTATTTTGCTACGGGGCAAACAGCCACGCTTCCCCCCTGCATTTTCCGGCCCGTGTGACTGGGGCCTAAGACTAGCAAATACCATGACAATATGCACAGAATATATCAAGAAAATATATTTAACTAATTTTCAAATAAACTTTTTTTTATTTTAAGTGACTTGTAGTAATTTAAGCAGACAGTTGTCTTAAAGAACAATGACAAAGAAAGGGTTTTTTTTACAATGCCAAGTACAAACTAAACATGCAACTCAAGTACAGTTGTGCACATAAGTGTTTGGACTTCTAATTGTGCAATAGTACAAACTTCTCAATGAAAAAAAGTCCAAAGACGTGCTTAAACATATAAAAATGAAACTATTAATGTTGAACTCGAAATTATTTTGATGACGATTCCAGATTTCTCTTCGTTTTGAAGTATTCCTTCTTAAAAAATAACAGTTCTTAACAAACAAATGCAAAAGGTTTCCCTTGCTCGAAAGCCAGTCGAATCCAACTCTATAAGGGGCGGTGCTCATCTCCGTTTCCAAGCCGAAGAGACAGCGCTTTCCAAAGAATTTATAGGAAAGGCTGAAAGATTTGGGTATGTTTAGCTTGGGAAAGAGAAGAGAAGGCTTAGAGGGGACATGATTGCAGTCTTCAAGTATTTGAAGGGCTGTCATGTAGAAGATGGAGCAGATCTATTCTCTCTTGCTCCGGATTGCAAGACTAGATCTAATGGGTGGAAATTACAAGGGAGTCGATACCGGCTAAACATCAGGAGAAACTTTCTAACTGTAGGAGTGGCTGAGCAGTGGAACAGCCTGCCTCAGAAGGTGGTGGATGCTCCTTCCCTGGATGTTTTCAAGCGGAGGCTGGACGACCCTCTTTCGGGGATGTTGTAGGGCTATCTTTCGGCTCTGCTCCTGCAGAGTGCCGGGGGTTGGACTAGATGACCTGCCAACTCTAACATTCTATGATTCTATAGGGGGCGCTGGCTCTTTGGCTCGGAAACGGAGATGAGCACCGCCCCCTAGAGTCGGATTCGACTGGCTTTTGAGCAAGGGAAACCTTTATCTTTTAAACTGTGGTTTAACGTATTGGCTTTGTGTATTTTCGTGTACTTTATCTCATGTATTTTATTTATATTGTAAGCTGCTTTGAGCTCCCTGAGGAAGGAAGGAAGGGGTGATAAAATGCTTTTGTCACGGCTCAGGTGGGGTGTCACCTGACGCTGCCACCACTCTGGGTTTAGGATCCTTTGAGAAGGCCCAGAGCACCCTCCCAAGACCTTCAGACCTCCCTTTTGGCCGAATAACAGGCGTGAGGACCAGGCAGAGTGAACAATCTAAATCTGTTTGTAAATTTGTTATTGTATTTTATTGTTTTTAAACTATGTGTTTACTGTTTTAACCGTGGCACATGGTGCCCTTGTTAGCCGCCCTGAGCCTTCGGGGTAGGGCGGGATATAAATTAAAATATAAATAAATAAATAAATATAAAAATAGTTTATTGTATAGGAGGTCAAACAACAAGGTGCAGAATAACAGTAAGTGGGTGAAAAGAAAAGAAATCAAAGGCCCTAATGCATCTAAATATATACTGTCCCTAGCTCACTATTCCAAGTGGCACTAGACTACTCAACCTTCCCTCAGGATGAGGGTTTCTTCATGCAGCAGCCTTCCTTCTGGCTCTGCCCTATGAGAAGAAGAACAGCTTTTCCTGCTGCTCCAGATCTTTTATTCCAAGCCCTCCTCTTTTCCTATTGGTCCGTTTGGGCTCCAAAACCTCTCAGGGGCTTCTGGGAGTTGTAGGCCCAGCCTCACCTACTGCTAGCCAGGCTCCCTGGGCCTAGTAGGCCTCTGGTGGTGGCACAGCCCGGATCATGACTGCTTTAAATAAATAAACGTGGCTTTCAGAGGAGAGGCCTGAGAAGAAGAGGGCGCCCGCTGTCGTAGGGTCTCGCCGCCCCCAGATGCCTGGTGACAGCTCTCTCCTCTCCCCAGCAGGACCCGCAGTCCCTCGACGCTGCCGTGCAGAACACGCTGTCGGTGCTCTACCCTCCCTTCGACATCACCGCCCCAACAGTGCTGAGCCAGCTTTTCCGCGTCCTGGAAGCCAAATACCACGGGGATGGACTCTGCTGCCTCCTGGACTTCCTCATCCCCTCCAAGCGCCTTCTGGAGCACGTGCGGCAGTCAGCCTGCGTGAGTGTGGATGGGGGGGGCGGGGGCGGTTCCGAGCCAGTGACATCCGTCCTTCGTTCTCGTGGCCCTTTTTTACACGCCCAGGGAAATGCCGATCGCCACTTTGGGGTCAGGAAGCAGTTTTTCTCCAGGCCAGGCTGGCCGGAGATCCTGGAGGGTTTTTTTGCCATCTTCTGGGTGTGGAACAGGAGTCACCGCCAATGTTCCCTCTAAGCTATGGAGTCTAGTGAGCAAAAATTCTACTCTGTGAGTTCCTGGCATTAAATTCGTGAGCAGGTAATTTGGCTACTGCATAAATTAGTTTGCTCTGGAGCCCTCCTTCCTGAGCTAAGAGAAAAATGTGTGAGCCTGAGGCTAAAAAACTGTGAGCTAGCTCACACTAACTCAGCTTAGAGGGAACACTGGTCACCGTGGATGTGGAGGGGGAGGTACTTGCGAATTTCCTGCCTTGTGCAGGGGGTTGGACTAGATGACCCTGGAGGTCCCTTCCAACTCTATGATTCTATGATTCCGTGGGTCTACTGTGGGTCTAGCACAGCAGAGACTCACAAGTTTCATGAGCAAAGTCATTGCTGAGCAGTTGGGTTAGAACAAACCCGGTTCTCCCAGATTAGAGTCTGCACATTTAACCACTACACCAAACTGAGAAGAAGGGATTGAATTATATACTCCACCCTACACTACCCGAAGGAGTCTTAGAGCGGCTGACAAACTCCTTTCCCTTCCCCTCCCCACAAGAAACTGCTCCTTTTTCAAGGACAGCTCTGACAGAACTACGGCTTGCCCAAGGTCATCCAGCAGTTGCAAGTGGAGGAGTGGGGAATCAAACCCGGTTCTCCCAGGTTAGAGTCCACGCATTTAACCACTACACCAAACTGAGAAGAAGAGATTGAATTATATACCCCGCTCTTCACTACCCGAAGGAGTCTCAGAGCGGCTGAAAAACTCCTTTCCCTTCCCCTCCCCACAACAAACACCCTGTGAGCAATGTTCCCTCTAAGCTGTGGGGTCTTGTGAGCAAAAATTCTACTTTGTGAGCTACTGGCACTAAAGATGTGAGCGAGCGATTTGGCTACCGCATAAATTAGTTTGCTCCGGAGCCATCTTTCCTGAGCTGACAAAAATGCGTGAGCCGGAGGCTAAAAAACTGTGAGCTAGCTCACACTAACTCAGCTTAGAGGGAACACTGCCTGTGAGGTCGGTGGGGCTGAGAGAGCTCTGAGAGAAACTGCTCTTTTTCAAGGACAGCTCTGACAGAACTACGGCTTGCCCAAGGTCATCCAGCCGCTGTGAGTGGAGGAGTGGGGAATCAAACCCAGTTCTCCCAGATTAGAGTCCGCGCACTTAAACCACGACACCAAACTGGCTCTTTACCGTAGAGCCTGAAGGATCCCTTCAACCAGCCATCCCTACTCGGACTTCCCCTCATCACATCCCAGAGAGGCACCGGTTGCTCTTTAATTCTTCAGTGTGGCTGGCTGGTTTACAGGCTTCTCTCAGTAGGGCTGCTGGCTCTGGGTTGGGAAATACCTGGATATTTTTTGGGGGGTCCTTTTTCAAGTTCAGCTCTGACAGAACTGCGGCTCGCCCAAGGTCATCCAGCAGGTGCAAGTGGAGGAGTGGGGAATTAAACCCGGTTCTCCCAGATTAGAGCCTGGGGAGGGCGGGGTTTGGGGAGGGGCGAGATCTCAGCAGGGTACAATGCTGTTGAGTCCGCCCTCCAAAGCGGCCATTTTCTCCAGGGGGAGAAGCAGAAGAGACTGGATTTATACCCCACCCTCTACCGCCCGAAGGGGTCTCAGAGTGGCTGGCGATCTCTAGGTCAGGAAGGGCTTCCTGTCACAGCAACTGTCACAGCATCTCCCCCTCCCCCTCCTCTTTCCTCCAGGCTCCTTACGTCAGCCACGTTTTCCTCCACGAAGGCTGGCCCTTGTGCCTCCGCGACAAAGTGGTCGTCCACCTCGGGCCGCTCAACCCCCTCCTTCTGCGCCCCGGTGATTTCTACCTGCAAGCCGAGCCCTGCGGCGAGCAGTCGGCCTGCCTGGCGGTGAAGTGTCTCTCCCGGGATCTCACCACCGTGGAGAAGATCCCCGTCCTGGAAGCCGCCTGCTCCCTGCTCTTCACTCGGGAGTGGCTGGAGGACGTCAACCGGGACCTCGGGAGGCCGGAGCTGCGGAACTGCCTGGTGGCCACCAGCGACGGGATCGTCCCCGTGCCGTGGAGTGAAATCGTCACGCCGGAATTCGTCGAGATACCTCAGGCCGAAGATTCGGCGGGCAAAGACGCGCCGGCTCCCTCGGATCCTCAGAGGAAGGCCGGCGCCAGGGGCGCGAGGGCCGCTCCGAGCAAGTACCCGGGCCTCATTAAGGTGGAGCCGGGATCGTGGACAAAATCCACTCTGTTCGTCGTGCCGAGTCTGTGCGATATCATCAGCGAGAATCTGGAAGGGGAGTACGTCAACCTTCTGGGTTTCTCTGAGGAAAGGAAACCGGATCTCTCTCCTCCCGCCAAGACGACCGCGTCGGCTGCGGCGCAGCCAGCGAGCAGGGAGTCACCTGAGGCCAAGGAGGGCCTTGCTTGGGTGACCAGAGAGGTCACAGCCACAGAAAGCTGGGCTTGTGGGAAGGGTGGGAACTCGGAGGAAGGCCCCTGCACCCCTTGCCTGAGGCGGAAACTGAGCCAAGACCCGGAGTTCCAGGAGACGAGGTGCCGGTACCGGGAGTCGTATGTGGCAGCCCTCCAAAACCCCGTCAGCTTCAACTCGGGACTGATGGCAGCCATCCTGGAGGAGATGGACACGGCCCAACCGGCCTCCCCCTGGGAGAGCGCAGGCGCCCAGCCTCCGGAGGGGTCAGACGAGGCCGCTCCCGGCAGCCTCTCGGACTGTCCAAACAAGGAAGGCAAAGCTGAGCAGGTGGCCAAGCCGGGACACGTGAAGCCGCCGAAGCCGCCCACGGAGCCTTCAGCTGCTGGCGGCAAGTTTTCCTTCTTGAAGGGCCACCGCCTGCAGGTCTCCTCGGGGGGCGGCTTGACCGTGGCGGAGAAAGCTGGCAAGGGCCAGGAGGGGCTTCGGAAGAAGACGTCCCTCGTGTGCTCCCCCGGAATGGCCAGAGCCAAGCAGGCGGGCGGGAAAGGTAAAGCCGGAGGGATCCGTCTGACTCACTCTGAGCGGGCAAGTGGCCCTGTCGGAAGCTGCTCCTGCAGTGAGGTCACTCCGTGGCTTTGGGCACGCCCCGTCCTCCCCACCATCTTCCCCCTCCCCGGTAGTTCTGGCCACCCTTACGAGCTTGTTGTAAAACTGCTGGGAGACTGTAGGCGGAAAAGTGCTGGATCATGCCATCAAGGCGATCACAGTCCAGAGGCCCCCAGGCAGAGGATTGGGGTGCTGTCTGGGGTAGCGTGGCACTCGCCCCCCCCGCCCAGCAAAAACTCATTAGCATAACAGACCACACCCAACAGCAGAAACTCATTAGCATATTAGGCCACACCCCTATGTCTTCCTTTGGCTTGCCTTGACGCCCTGTGGCTGCAAAGAGCCTGGGCAAGCCGGCCCTTGGACAGGCTGGGGAAGGCATGGGGAGGCAATAAAATGCCTCCCCGATCCTTCCAGGGCCCACCTGCCCCCCCACCTCAGAGTCGCCGGGGGGGGGGGGGGCATCGCCAGGCCTTCCCTCTGTAGCCACGCACACGCAGAGGTTTTGGCTGTAGTGGGCGTGGCCAACTCTGAAGCCAGCCGGAACTCCGTTCCTGTGCGTTCCTGCCAAAAAATAGCCTTGCTTAAATACATTTCATTAAAAATATTTTTTGCATGGATTCTGCAGCCAAACGGTTCTTTTGGGAATACCACACCTTGAGAACAGGAGCATGGGTCTGCTTCCTGTTTGGTGTCGTGGTTAAGTGTGCGGACTGTAATCTGGGAGAACTGGGTTTGATTCCCCACTCCTCCACTTGCACCTGGCTGGATGACCTTGGGCAAGCCATAGTTCTGGCAGAGCTGTTCTTGAAAAAGAACCGTTTCTGTCAGAGCTCTCTCAGCCCCGCCTACCTCACAGGGTGTCCTGTTGTGGGGAGGGGGGAGGGAAAGGAGATTGTCAGCCGCTCTGAGACTCCTCTGGGTGTAGTGAAGGGCCATGGGGTATAAAGCCAATCTCTTCTTCTTCGTCTTCCTTGTGTCCTTAAGTCAGCCTCTGAATCTCAGAGACAGGAGGCAACATAAGGGGAAAGCCTCAGCCTCTATGCCCTGTTGTTGGCCATCCAGAGGAACGGGTTGGCCACTGTGTGGGACAGGATGCTGGACTAGATGGACCACTGGTCTGATCCAGCAGGGCTCTTCTGATG